GGAAGTCCAAAGATGAAGTCGTGTTTTCCCTTGAGATTGATGATTCGAGTGCGATAATGGCTTAAGCCAAAAATGCTACTTTGAGAAGATGAGTTTTAAATTTTAAAGACCAACGATTTTAGCGACGAGTCACCAGGGAAAGATATTCAATATTATCAGTTATTTAAACAAGTATACAAATAATTTATATTTTACATTTAAATTGCAAAATAATTCAATCGCAGAGAAAATTGCCACTGCGTTACAAAATTGCATGGCTCCCCTCGCACAGAGAAAAGCTTTTATACATGTCGAAGCAACTCCACAATCGGTACTACGTCTATAGTATGCACAAGAGCATGGTGCAGCGACACAATGGGCAGATAAATATTAATAGAACGTGCGAGCGAAGACTGTGTAAACATGCTCGATGTAATTCTACGGGACTAGGTAATAAAATATCAAGGGTGCACAAAGTGCCGTCGCGAGATATAAAAATTCTTGGCTGAAATATTGGTGAAATCTCACGAAAAGCTCCTTCGAAGACGAAAATTTTGCTCAGCAAACAAGCTATATTTGCATCAGATTTATAAGCGACTTTAAAAATCTACGTTTCAAAATAAGAATGGCATTTAAATTCGACGAGCTCCAACAATGATGCACATTATGTCACACATGAACCTCTACCGTTTCATCACTGAAGAAAATCGATACGTTATATCAATATAAGTTAAATTAATTATTAGTATTTATAAAAGAAGTTTTTATTATTAATGTTTTACATTTCAATGAAAATTTTCCTTACAAAATTCTAAAAAATTAAAAAAATTTCTAAAAAGTTTTATTGTAATCTAGAGAGTCTCTTTCTCCTTGCCTTTTTTTCTGAAATTACGATCATTACGAATCACTCGATCACTCGATCGAGATTCAACTATAAGATCAAATTTATCGAAGCTTGAACGTTACGATCTCGCAAAAAAAAAGCTATTGCGTTAGTGGATCATTAAAAGTTTTACAACATAAATTTAAAGACATCAACTTAAAACAAGCAAGTTTTTCGAGAGGCCGATAATTGGATTTCTATTTCTTTTCTTTTTTTCATCGCTTCGATTGCATCATTATTCAACAAATACAATAATATACAATTGTGGAGCTTCTTCGGTGCATATATTAAAGGCTTTTCCTCATTCGTGAAAAGACATAAATTTCTATATTGCCACTGTGGAGCTTTTTGCAAATATAAAAATTGATATCAATTAAATTAACTTTAAATTTAAATTGACATGTTATTATGTTTAGGAAAATAATTACGAAGATCAAAAATAAAACAAGAACGAACGTATTGTTAAGTGTATATATAAGTAATATTAACAACGCGATAAAAATTTATGTACTTATTTAATTATGCTGAAATAATTAAATTATCCTAATAGATATGTGATCGTATTAAATAACTCTTTAGTTATTATTATAATCTTATTTGTATCACTTAATTATCTTATCCTCTCAATTTAGGCTTACATGATATTTACTATAATTTCTAACAAGCTATGATATACGTAGCAAGTGATATTTATGACGATATCCTGTTTAATGAGAACGCTAGTTTCTTGCACGAGTCTTAACCTGATACAACGCAACGTATACGTTTCATGGCGGAATTGATTTAAACGATTAAATCATTCAACAGGATGAGAGCAATAATAACACGCTCGTAAATCATTGTTATTTGCATGCAATGTGAAGCTTATTCTCGAAAATATTTCGGAAATTGCCAGTCAGAGACATTATTTTTTATTGTGCTAAATGTATCGAAAATTATAAATTAGCATTATCAAGTATTAAACGTACCTTTTTATTATATTCTAATCGATCAAACATATAAAGAATTACATGTTCAATTTTTTAATTTATATATTTAGATATATTTGAAAATAATTATACATGGCTTTCAACATATACAAAGCAACCTATTTATTTTCGTAATTTTTAAGTGTACTTTATTTTTTAATCTTTCTTTCTTTCTTTTTACTTATTATTATAATATTAGTAAATATTTTCTAATGTTTTTTTCTTCGTTTCCATTACAGTGCGTGCAAATGGCGCACGCGTTAAGACGCATCTCTTACGCGACTTGTGAGCCGCAGCACGCCCAATTCAGCTTTCTGGCACGAGAACCCAGGGCCCACTTCAGCCTACAGTACTGTCATTCCTTTATCACCGAGTCTACAGAACAGGTCAGTAAAATCCGACTTTCTCTTTTTATTTCTTCCTTTCGCGGCATGCAGGATGTCACTCCGAAGAAGAATGGAATATCCGAGAGGCGCGTTAATGAAATCGTAATAATGCAGCCAAAAATAAACCCGAGTCTTAATTGCTAAGGAAACGGAGCAGTAGTAAATACAATTACAAACAATTACAAATGTCTAAATGACGGAAAAATACACGTTAACACAGACATCTGTGAAATAAATAGAAATAAACAGCATTTGAAGTGTTTTTAGGGCAGCTGACACTTTAAAAAATATCTTAAATAATCGGGTTAATATAAATCGTCGAAAATAAGGCGGGATTTTCGTTTCAAAGATACTGTACGTGACAGGTCGTCTCTTGCCAGTGGACAACCGCGTGCGTCTCAAGTGGAAACTGGAAACTGTCTCGTCGTTTAAAGCTGATGGATCGTTCTCTTTGGTTCCGACAACTCTGCTGGCATTTAGAGCCAAGCCGCACGTTTAACAAGTTTAAAATTGAAATTGCAAAACAAGAATCTGGTCTTGACCGTAACTCGAAAATTTGTTTTACATGAATTAACGAATCTATCTTGATGATAGATTCGTTATTACTAATTTTAAATAAAGAAAAATCAATTTATATTGTCGCTGATTCCGTTCAGTTAATGTCTAACAATATGTTTTATTTTTACTTTTGTTCTAACTTATCGATGCGATTACGAAGTTTCGGCGTTATTATGATATCACCTCTATATGTATTGCGCTTTATCGAAAGTCATAACAATCGGGTATAAAAGCATCCGTGGGTGGAACGTGCTTCGATGCTGAGACCAGCGAATACACGGGAAATATCATCTCGGATGTCGATACATCGACGACTGCTGAATCCCAGGATCTAAAAGCCTCTTCCTGTTGTCTGAAAGATAACATCGCTCGAGGCTTCGAGGTCCGTCGACGATATCAGAAAAGATATATAATAGAGCCGTAAGTTGGCGAAACTTTAGTGAGTTGAGAATAGTAGACTTTGCACTTGGAACTTTGCACTCTGCCATTGCCTTGACATTTAGTCAACCCTAATGGCGCACTCTTCGGATTAAACTTTAAATATCTTCCGCTGAATTAAGAACGTCATCATTCTTGAGGGCCATGGATCAAGCAAGCTTACCCTGATAGCACGGCAGAAAAGATGGCAAGAATAGGCGGAAAATGAAGAGTCTCAACGCTGGATATTTAAAGTTCATTGAAGCGGTTGACACTGCATCTTCAGTGCGATTTCCATAGAATTTCCATCTCTGTCAGGCAACCTGTCAACATATGGATCCACATCGGAAAAAATGTGAAATTATTTTACAGAGAAAAAATAAACAACGAAAGTTCGTGTGTATGAATCCTATTCATCTTTCATCATTGTTAGATAAAAAAATTGGATTTAAAAGCTGACCGCATTCCTGTGATGTTCCGCATAATTTTGAGGAAATTCTTACTTAATTCGAAATTTCACGATTCGTCTCTCTTACACTGACCTTGAAGAGCACCTTAAAACGTACAGCATTAAGCAGGTACCTGTGGCAGGTACAGACATTCCAAAGGAGGTATGCGAACATTCTAGGTACAGGTAGAAGTGCTCGTTGCAAGAAATACCTACGAGCAAGTATAAGATACTCCGAAACCGTATTTGGGGGGTTAAAAAAAGAGACATTTACACCTAAGTACTTCACATCACCGGACCTGGCGCGAGCCCCGAGTCGGAGTTGAAGTCCGCGCTCGAGCGGCGCGTCGCGCTGACGGGTCAAAGAACGCGAATCGCAAACTCATGTGCTTCGTGCGGCGCTGGCTCTCTGTCGAGTGGCGTTCTCGGTCGTGGCAGGGTTAAAAAGACTACGAGGACTACGTGGAAAAGATCGTGAGAGGGATAGAGAGCGACGGACAGAGCGGGAAG